CATAATGTAAGGGCTTTATTAGGGTTTAGGGTTTATAGGGTTTAGGGTTTAGGGTTTAGGGTTTAGGGTTTAGGGTTTAGGGTTTAGGGTTTACCTATACTATTTTGGCGGTTCCTTATTACAATATAAGTATAGCATAACGCGCCCAAAAACCTTATTCATATTATTAAGGCCCCTATATTAAACCTTCTGAGGTCTCCCCCGTGGTACGAGGAAGCAAACGAAATTCAACCCACCTTTAACTCTCCACATTAGGGACCTAGATTCCTAGGTCTAGGAATCGAGGGGGGGACTAGGCTTAGTTCAAGAGTCAGGGTTTCTGCTACCGAAACCCCCTAAACCCTAAACCCTGTTTGACTTTCAAGAATCCGACTGCTGCTCTGCTCATGTTCTCCGATAAATCTTTCGAGACACGCTCGAGCTAAGACATCTGTCATAAATAGGGTCGAGGGACGGCAGACGGGGATCGCCCAAAACCTACATACATCGCCGAACAAAACATATCTAAACGCGAAACCCTACACCCTACCCATAGGCCCTAAAGTAGTTCCTTTTTGGGGTTCATATATAGAATCCTATAAGGTAACCCCAAAAAGGAACTGCTATGGGGCCTCTGGGTATAGGCCCTAAACGATCAATCAAGGATGTCGGGTTTAGGGCCCTGGGTCGTCCCTTCAGGGCGTTCCTCTGCGGCCCCACAGACCCGGCACCTGCGCACCCTGAAAGCATTCGGGGATTTCTGGCTTAGGGTTTAGGGTTTAGGGGTTTTGGGTTTAGGGGTTTAGGGTTTAGGGGTTTGGGGCTTAGGGATTTAGGGTTTAGGGCTTAGGGTTTAGGGATTTAGGGTTTAGGAGTTGAGTGTTGTCCTTGGGAATCTCATGGCTACCTTAGGCCGTAAGCCCTAAACTCTAGACCCCTGACTGTAAGTCCCTGCCTTCCCGAGCTACCCTAAACCCTAAACCCTAAACCCTAAACCCTAAACCCTAAACCCTGAACCCTAAACCCTAAGCCGACTTCTGGACTCCTCCAAAAAAGTTAAACTTCCAGCTTGCGTTCTGTAGTTCATATAGAACTGGGTTTAGGGTTTAGGGTTTAGGAACCCCCAAAAGCTAAAGTCCTAAGAGCCAACCAGAAGAACAACAAGTACTTAGCCTTGTCGTTTCTAGCACCTGGGATGTTCCGTAGATTGCCCTCACCAGCTCATAAGGTCCCAGAGATCATAGAAGGCCGAAAATCTCGGACAGTAGGGGACTGGATTCAGGGTCTATAGGGTTTACGGTTTTAGAGAATTTGGGGTTTGTGGCTTATGGGGCTTGGGGGTTAAGCTTCGGAGTTTAGGGCTTAGGTTTGGTGGTTTACCGCTCACCATCATTCCGGTCCATTCTTGGGGTCCCTATGATAGCCTAGTCGGCGTCCAGAATTGAACACTAAATGCTATCAAGAAAGGTCTTAGCTTAAGGGGTGAAGGGGGCGCAGGACGAGTCAGGGTGTAGGGTTCACAAGGGTGTAAGGGGTGCGTGCCTGAATGCCTATGCCGACTGCTGTGAGCCGGCGACACATTGCCTATTCTGAAAGTCCTTCCATCAGGAACGGCTGCCTGATAACGGATCTTCATTCCCAAAAAACGTGTGCAGTTTGCGAAGTTGTATCCAACCGAGCCGTCAAAACATGATGCTGCACTACGGACTGCCCATAATCCCCACTGTAGCTTCGGACCTCGGTTAACAAGTGGTATGAACAGCACGATTTAGAATGTACTAGCGAGGAAACAAGGCAAGCAGACACAGAACTACCCCTGAACCAGGTGTATAGGTAGACTCCAGGCATAATGACATCATTTTCGTACATGTGATTCGTCGCACGCGTCATTCAGACTTGCATGAACCATGCAGTTCACAAACAGGCAGGGTGAGGCCACGAACAAATGTATCAATGGCTTGACCCGTGGATGTTTGCTCACTAAACCCTACACCCTAAACACCAGGATTCCTATCCCTCGATTGAACGGCTAAATATTATTCGGAACTAGCCCACGATGTCCTTGCCTAATCACTTTTGGAGCTGGCCGTACTTCAATGAACCTGCTACGCAGCAACACAATGATGTGAACTGAAGGATCTCGGTGCACACTTTGGGTTCCGGGTTTGGGTTCCGAGTTTACGGGGGTTTAGGATGGTTTAGGGTCCAGGGTTTAGCGGTAGGATCTCGTTGCAAACGCCTTCCCTGCGTAATCGTGTAGGTTTTGAAAGAGTTTAGCGGCACCCTGCCTGCAGTCTTAGTCTTAAATGACTATCCAGAATATGCGCAACAGGTCGTACTACCACCAGGCGCATTGGGCTCGAATCCGTCGACGTCGATTCGAAAAGTTCTCGTAGATGTAGGCTTTTGCGAAGCCTCTCAAAACCTGAGTCTTCACGTGGGTAGTTCTCTAAACTAGACTCTCTTTTCATCAGGGTGCCGTACTATATTGGGGACTGGAAAAGGGACCCTAAGTTCTACCCACGTGACTGCAGTGTTTCGAGGCTGGATAGGGAGAATTTTTCGGATAATGTAAAGGCCTCCATAATTCGAATAGGGTTTTGGGTTCCTTTATAATATATTCTTAAAAAGGAACTCCAAGAAAAATATTGGTAATTTTTTAGGCCCCCTATATTAGAGCTCGAAAAGGATGGGCGTTTGGGAAGAGATTGCTTCTCACGAAATTGCTGAGTGCAATGCAGTCGCTTCGGCAGCCCCTTGTTGTTTGGCCTCAGTCAAGATTTCCGGAGAAGAAGAGGCACCCTCAACCGTAAACTGAAACCCTCAACCTTAAGCCCCAAGCCTTACACTACTACACTCTTAGAGCTCCTTTCTACCATACACCCTAAACACGAAACATGAACCCCCAATCATCCAAAATCCAAGAGCCCCAAAACGCTGCGCACCTGCAGGGCCTGGAATCAACGAGGACTTCGGCTTTGGGGTTTAGGGTTCAGGGTTTGTTTAAGTGTGATGGGCTTATATAGGCTATATAGGGTTTAGGGGTTTAGGAGTTTAAGGTTTAGGGTTTAGGGTTTCAGGGTTTAGGGTTCAGGGTTTAGGGTTTAGGGTTCAGGGTTCAGGGTTTAGGGTTTAGGGGCTTAGGGTTTGAAGCGAAGAGAAGGCAAAGGCTGTTGCCACTCAGGTCAGCAAGACTCTAGCCTGGCCAGCTGGGATTTAGGGTCTTGAGTTTAGGGTTTAGGGTTCATGGGACTTAGCAACCAGAGCTATCAGTTGTAAGTAAGGTAACTACAGCTCAATTAAGGCCTTTATCACCTGACTTACTAAGCACCAGGGTTTCGACCCATGATGGGTGGTGCACGCGCGCTGTGGGATCGATCAAACTCGAAGCCTGGATGAAAACCCCGACGTGCGATCCGTGCTCAATCTCGTTGCCGGCAGAGGCCTTTGACGGTCACAGAACTTCCGAAGCTCACGGAGCGCCCACATGGAGCCCGATAATCCTCCCATCTGGATTAGGAGAACCGTAAGTACCCTAAACCCTAAACCCTAAACCTAGTAGGGGCTCCACAAGCTACAAGGCGTCACACTCTGCGGGCGCTGGCAAACTCTGAATCGCCTGCTTGCAGCGGGATGCAGAGCCCAGACAACCCTATACCCCTTAATTCAGGAATATACCTTACATTGTAGGGGCCTCAATATTATGATTTAAGGTATATTCCTTCATTAAGGGGTATCGGGTTCTCTGGGAGATCCTCGATCCATCGCTGTGCAGGACGTAAGCACAGGCAGGTACCCAGTGCGACGGACCAGAGTAGTTCGCCTTTCACAACCTTGAAGCGTTTGCGGCCCTGCACTGCCTAGGTTGTCTAAGGTCTAGGGCTTACGGCAAGGGGTTTGCATTATGAATGGCCAGTCATGAGTGCACGATACGTGACACAGTCTAATGCATATACTTAAGTTTCAGGACCATGCAGTCACAGCAGGCTGTTTCGTGATGATTGTGATTAATAGACAGATGTCGCACCAGCATTAGCGTTCAAGTATTTGTCGCAGAGCGGCATGCATATTCGCATTGCTGCTATCGTCTCAGCATTGGTCTTACCAATCTTAGAACCTAGCCTCACCTTGGTTTAGGGTTTAGGGTTTTGGGATAAGGGGTGGTTAGTCCTCGTAATGCTATTGGGATTCGCAATCTTAGCTGTACTTTTTCGAGGCTATTGGTGGTGCCTTGTCATCTTTTTATTTGTCGCAGCAAAAGTCGCACTGCCTTTTCGTTGTTTTGCTTGTTCGTCATAGTTGCTACGGATGTGGGGCGGTTGAGGGTTTAGGAATACGCAGAAAACTCTGAGAATCAAGATGAGCCCGTGAAGGGCGCGAATGCCTGTCAAAATTAGGGTTTCCGGTGACTGGGTTGCATGCGCCCTAAACCCTAAACCCCTAAACCCCTAAACCCTAAACCCCTAAACCCCTAAACCCCTAAACCCTAACCTCCATAATCTTGGATTGAACCTTAAACTCTGCGTCTGAACCTTAATACACGCCTACATGCACCAGACCGATGCTTACTGCGACGGCTATACCTGCGAAGTCGACGAGAGAAAGGCTACGGCGACTACGGCTACGTGCCTTCCCTCGCGACCACGTCTCGGCAATTTGGTTATGTGACGTCATCTTACCATGAACCCGGAACCCATCAACAGCCTGCAGTGGCAAAAAGCAACCCTATAAGTAAGTTCTAAGCCTGTAAAAACCCTACACCCTACAGCTCATAAAAATCCTAAACCCTTACTCCCGAAAGCCCTATGTTTTAAAACCCTAAATCCCAGAAATCCTAAACCCTAAATCCGAAACCCAAAAACCCCAAAGTAGCTACCTAGAGAACCCAATACCCCTTAATTAAGGAATATACCTTAGATTATAATACTAAGGCCCCTATAAGTTCAGGTATATTCCTTAATTAAGGGGTAGTGGGTGCTCAGTCATCCGAAGCGTCCCAGCGCGTGGACTGAGGCCTCGGCGCCCTCGGAAGCTCCTTTAGCGTTGAAAAGTCCCCGGGGTTTGGGTAATGTAGGGGGCTTGATGGTTTCATAAGGCTCCTTTAAAGGGTTCTGTTAAAGGGTTCCTGTAAAAGGGTTCTATAAGGGCGAGTACAAGGGTTTAGGGTGTAGGGGCCTTAATAATTAGAATAGAGTATTGGGGTATACTATAGTTATAACAAGGAACCCCCCAAATAGAGTTGGTAATTATTTCGGCCCCTATATTAGTTCTCTACAGCCGGGTCCCCGTTTAGGAACCCAACAGACGTTTGGTGTTTAAGGTTGAGGGTTTTAGGCCAAGTGAGCGGGGTTTAGTAGGGGCTTTAAGGTTTGGGGATTTGGATTCCAATGCCAAGGCCTGGAACGGTTTAGGGTTTAGGGTTTAAAGTTTAGGGTTTAGAGTTTAGGGTTTAGAGTTTAGGGTTTAGGGTTTAGGGTTTAGGGTATGACGCTGGCACAGCCGAAGTCCGGTGCATGTTCCCAAAGAGCCCAATACCTTGATAGCTCAGCGGGTTTAGGGCTCAGGGTTTGAAGGCTCTGAAACCCCTAAACCCTAAACCCTAAACCCTAAACCCTAAACCCTAAACCCTGAACCCTAAACCCTAAAGGCTCTTGGCATGACGAGGCACACAATGACTACTTAAGGGGGGCGGAGCTCCTAAACCCTAAAATCGATCCCGAGATACCCTTTTAAAACAGAGGCCCCATAAAGTCTACATAAAACCGGGTAGAACCCCAAACGGTGCATCGAAATGTGCTCTCAGGGGTGATGTATGGGCCTTGATAATTAGAATGGAATCTGGAGGTATATTGTACTAGAATTATAGTAAGGAGCCCCCCCAAAATAGTATTGGTGACTATTTAGGCCCCTATAACAAATTCTGCCGGCCGCTTTAAGCCAGTTGTCAGGTTCGCCGTGATGGCTTCTATTGGGACCGGCGTAGGGTTTAGGGCTTAGGGTTTAAGGGTTATGGGCTTAGGGTTTATGGGTTTAGAGGTTAGGCTTTAGGGCTTGTGGGTTCTGGGTTCAGGGTTTATAGGGTTTAGGATTTCGGGTGCCTTACGCTTCGAAATTTGACCCGAGGAATCGCGTACATTATGAGTTGTGAGGCTTGCCAGCGTCGGCCATAGGTTGGACAAGGCCTGTCTGGTATTTTTTGCTATGTTAAAGGAAACTAGAGCCACGGTTTAGGGTTTAGGGTGTAGGGTGTAGGGCCCGGTGTAGGGTTTAGGGTTTAGGGTTTAGGGTTTAGGGGGAGTTTAGGGTATACAGGGCTTCTATAAGGCTTCTATAAGGTATATAAACCTTCTATAAGGCTCCTATAACGGTAACTACCCACCTGAAAATGTCCCAGATATGAGGAACACTGAGGAAGGGTCCTGGC